AAAGGAAAAGGAAAAGAATAAAGATATTGCTGAGTCACGTGACGGCCGAACCATGGCATTCGGGGTAGGAGCTAAAGAGCGTGTGCTCGACGCAAGTCTCGAGCGGGGTAGTGTTGATTAGGCGGCCGAGTCCTCCTTCGGAGTCAAAGCCGCACTCGTGGGTGCCGTTGACGATGCACATCTCACCCTTGGTGAGCACGAGGTCGAGAGCCCGAATGCCATTCTGGGTGCAAGGCGGTTCGGCGGAGAAGATGTGGCGGCTCTCGTGGAAGAGCATGGCGAGGGCGGTACTCGGCGCGTACGTGAGAGCTTGCTGAGCGAGAGCGACGACGCTATCGAAGTCACGATTCATGGGCGTGACGGCCAAGGCCGGGTCGTCGGCGATCATCGGCGGGAGCCAATGCGGAAGCTCGCCCTGGGTGGACGAGACGCGGTCGAGAGAGACGTCGGTGTGCGGTTCTGTGAGCAGGTTCTGTCGTACGTGCTGTTCGCTCATGAAGATCTGGGCGACAAACACGCCGCGGACGCGGAACCGGCTACGGAGGATGTCGGGCGACTCAATGCCGTGAACGGGGCCAGCGAGACCGGTCCACACGGCAGCACTTGTGAGATCGCCTGGGTCGGTCTGAATGGTGATGAGCGGGTTCACCATGACGACTTCGAGCACGGCCTTGTCGTCGCCGTCGTCGGTGAAGGTGAGGCGGCGGGCGCTGACGATGAACGATCGGGGCGAGAAGACGGTAATCTCGTTGTTATAGGCGGCTTCGAGCCCAGGCGGCGGCGCTTCGTCTCCGAGCGTGCATCGCTTAGCGAAGGCAAGGCCGCGAGACGGGTCGAACGGGTCGCCCGAGCGGTACACGGGTTCGTCGTCGGGATTGGGTGCGGCGGCGGGCGCAGAGGTACCGCTGAGCCAGTGCGAGAGCGACAGCATGTTGGTGGAATGGACGGGGGTGGTGGCCTGCATGGTGGCGCGTATACGGTCGCGGAGATGGTAAGGCTGTATTGTCGTTAAGTTAATGCTTCGAGCGTCGCGCTTATATAACGTACGTAGGGAACTTGAGGGTGGTGGCGAAAGGAAGGCTCTGAGTTGGGCGTATAAGCGTTGGACCGGGTCGTTCCTGCAAGGCCGGTACGTACCAGAAAAATCTTGCAAGACAAGATCAATCGAATCACGAAATTCGACTTGCGACGGGTCGTGAATTTTGAACGAGAGAGCCTCGGCTAGCGAAGACGTTGGCGTTGACGTGAATAGCGAGCAGGTGGTGTCGACCGGCGGCGCGGGTAAGGTGTACTGCGAGCGCACCAGCTCGTTAACACGGAATACGTAGGGACGGGTTAAGTACGAACCTGAGGCGTCGACTTGCGAGGCGTAGAGCTGAGCGGGCGGAGTACAAGTCTCGGACTTGAACGGATAGAGGGAAGCGTTGACCGGCGGCGCAGAATAAGTGGGAATTCGAGGCGTGAGGTCGAAGGAGGAGGAGGCTGAGGGCTGAGTTGGCTGAAGAACGGGTAAGAGAGAGTAGTTGCGGTTTCTGAAGTTAAACCGCTCACCACGTCTCGCTTTTATACGTAGCGTACGTTTTCTTGGCCACCAGTCTTCTCCTTCTAGGTCCTCGTCGAACTTTCCCTTCGCCGTACGACTTGTAGGAGAAGGTTCGAGAGGTTGCTGGTCCGCGCTAGGGTCTACGCCGCTCGGCGCTGGTCCGTCGTTATTATTGCGAAGGTCCTGCGCGGTCACAGTGAGAACCGCGTTGGCGTGTTGGGCGCAAGACGCGTGCTCGCGTACGCACCTAGACTGCTCGTCCTGAGCCGAAGTACAGGCGGGTACTGGGTTTGCGTTAGCATGTTGAGCGGGACCGCTCGAGAGCTCGTCCGAACTTACTTGAACCAGGTGTGACCTGGCGCTCGGCGCGGCGACTCTCATACGGTTGTCGTTGTCATACACCGTGTTTCGGCTGACTGGTCTGACCAGTACTTCGTAAGAAATACGGTCGCGCGTATTTCGCAGCACTAGGTACGTACCGTTCGTTCGTTCTTCAATATTAATGAAGTGGTCGCGTTGCCACGGGCGTCCGAGCAGGAGCTGGTAATTGACGGGATCGTCAATACGATATACGCTCGCCTTCGTGCGTATTTGCGTACCTAGAATGAAAGGTACGTCCTTGATGAGTCCGGTGAGTGTTGTTTTTCCGCCGTTCGCGACTTCAAGGTTAATCGTTGCCTGGCGGTCGACGGCCTGCGTGATGCACTTGTCTACCAAGTTCCCAGCCATTAAATTCAGCTGGGAGCCTGTATCGAGTAGCGCACGTACCTGCCATCCATTGCAGATAATATCGAACTCGAGGAGCTCGCCTCGGGTGGATGCGTTGGCCGTCGTCGTGAGGCCGCGGGCGGCGAGGCGGGCAAGGTTGACGCGAGAGGATAATGAGCTGTGAGCAGGTACAACATTATCTAAAAATGCTCTCTTCTTGCAGAGCTGTGCGAGTTCGGCCTGGCTGTAGTCGGAGAGGACGAGGAGGTCGCGGACAGAGATGGACGTGTTCGACTTCAACCACGCGTTGAACGCGGCCGCGCGGTCGGCCGTTGCCGAGATAGGAGTCATCCTAGGACGCGGCTTGGCTCTTACCACCTCCCGTCCACCATCTTGCGCCTCGCGCGCCTTCTCTTTTCGTATTTCAGCTGCCCGCTGGGCCGATTTCTGGGTCTGCGCGCCCTCCTCTACCATTTGGGCTTGCTGCCCTCGCGTGACGGTCTCTTGCGTGACGGTCTCTTCATCTGCGAGGTCCTCCGGGTCGTCGATGAAGTTTCGGTCATCGTCCATGTCGATCACGGGGAGGTCCTCTGCGTACGGTATGTATGTCGGCTCCTCGGCAGTGAGGCGCGCGTGTTTCTTGGCCTTGTGGGCCCTATCCGTTTCGGGATGCTTGTTTGTCTCGCCTGGGATGCGCGGCGCGGTTCTTCCTCCGCTGCGTTTCTGTGCGGACAACTGGAACTGCTCGGGGTCCTTGAGCGGTTGCCTGCGGGCCGTTCCCGTGCTGGATCGTGTGCGATGGCCCGTCGTAGAGGGCGGTTGCTTGGTCTTTTTCATTTTCTCGGTTTCTTGAGCTTCAAAGACCACTACGTCGCTCTCGTCGTCCGAGTCTCCTTCGTCGTGCATCGTTGTGAGGCCAACGAAACGGCTCTCACCGTCGCTCCACTCGCTCTCACTGTTCTCGTCAGATTCGGAGATCTCGGGATCGCTACCAAGCCGAATGCTAACGAAGTTCGTCCTGAGAGTCGGCACAGTGCTGGAACCTTCTGGGTTTCCCGTACCGACGATGCTCGTGCGTTCGCGTCGTACAGCAGTAGCGATCCGCTCTGACCCTCTTCGGCGAATGGGTTGTCCGTTCGCATGGATGAGGCGTCCCTGGTGATACTGCACAGCCCCTTCTCGGAGGAGCGCGGTTATTTCTGGGCAATCACCCATGCGGTGATTCTCGTCCCCGCACCCATAGCAGGCGGGATCGGTATTCTGGCCTCGGTCGGCCCACGGTCTCCTTCCGGGAGCTTGGTGTGGTGGGTTATCCTTCTGCGTAGGTGCCGAGCTTGGCGTAGACTGAGTGAGGAACGTCCTGGCTGGCTTACTTCGATTGTTCGTGTTGCCCTGTTGTTCCCCGTCGGTTATGGGAGGCTTCCAGAACTGCTTGACCGACTCGTCTCGTTTGGATGCCTTCCAGTATAAAACGGCATACTTCGGATCGGTTCGTGGTAGTGCGGCCATTTCTTCTAGGATGCTTTCAGTCTCTCGTTGAGACTTCCGGTTGACCTTGTCGCTAGCGTCGGCACTACGTTCTGCTTGTAAGGCTGCGACACGTGCACTGGGTGTCTGCCGTGATGCTTCGCGGCGTACCTTCTTCTTCTTCGTCTTGTTCTTCTTCTTCTTCTTTCCATTGTCGTCGTCGCTGCTTTCATCACTGTCGCTAGTGTCGCTATCGCTCTTTTCGGTTTCGTCATTATCGGTTTCGTCGTCGTCTCGGTCGTCCTTGAGTGTGTTGTCGAATGCTCCTCGTCGTAGGAGTATGTCTACAACCTTATCAATCTGCGTCATGGTCCATGGGACCTTCTTGTTGTGGTTCGGATACATGAGTAGTAGTCGGTCGCGTACGTCCTTTCGTAGATCTCGATGGATACCTGACCAGAACCCTTTCAGGTAGTCACGGTCGGAGATGGTACCATTGTTGCGCATTCGGCCGGCTCTTCGTATGTATCCTCGCTCGTACGTCTTGTAGGATTGTAAGGAGCCCATCTTGCAATTCCTCATCTTTACACAGTATGCTTGCAGATCGTCTTCTTGCCATCGTTCCTCGCGGAATTCGGCATCATACAAGTGTAAGATCTCTTTGCGTAGGGTGAGCCAATCGTGGTTGTGGTAGGCAGGGAGGGCTTCGATAACGTCACCGACTCTATGCGAACAGTAGCGTAGGATAGCTTGGCATACTTGTGCCTTCTCGTGGATCCCTTCTTTGAAGCAAACTTCTTCAAAGTTATTGATCCACCGCTTCACGTCGTTGAAGCTTCCTTTGAACTTGCTTGGTGCGCCTGGCTTTCCTGGTAGTGGCAGGTCAGTGATTGCTCCAGTTCGGTGCGAGCGAGGGCGGTATGATGAACCACCTCTTTCATAGACGTATCGTGCCCATACAGGGTCTTGCTGCGCCAGGTTGTGCATGTGTTGTTCTGCTAAGCGTCGGCGTCTGTGAGAAGCTCGTCGTCCTTGCCACCTCCAGTCATTCTGATCGACTTCACTATCTTCGGAGGAGGAATTGTCTGGGATGGGATCCTGGAATGGGTCCTCATGGGAGTCATTCCTACGACGGTGCTGGGCTTGAGAGCGACGTGCTTGCTCTTCAGCATACTGACCTCGTGGGTAGACTCGGTCATCGGTAGGGTCTTCTTGGTATGGATCTTCAAACGGATCAGAGGACGAGTCCGATTCGGATAACCAATTGAGCCTACTTGGTTGTCTTGTGCGTGGTAAGGGTGATCGTCTTCTTTGAGGTAGGGTGTGAGTCCTATGCCTATGACGGTCAGAGTCATGGTCTCTTGGGGGTTCTGGCATTGCTCGCGGAGTACGGTGTATACGGTGCGTGTGAGTCTGGGGTTGCACATCAATGGTAGGCAATTCCCAAGACTGCTCGATTGGTGGTGGAGCATTGCGAGAAGGTCCCGAAGTAGAAGGATGACTGGGCGTCCCCAGGTGGACATGTTGCGTCACGTCCGTGGGAGGAGATACGTCTTCGGTTAGTTCATGATGAACAGTGGGGTTTGTATGAGAGGGTCCCGCAGTAGGGCTGTGGTTCCCAGAGGTGTGTGCAGTAGTAGAAAACATGCTGCTCGGAAGTGAAAGGTTACGGATTTGTTCGTCCAGCGATACGGAGGAGAAGTTTGAGTCCAAAGATGGAGATTTGCTGAATGGAGACACAATGGATGATCTGAACGGTTACACAGTGGTTTCAAATGAATTGTACCCCCTGCGGTGGTCACCAATA